CTGTGTCCTTGCCCAAACTCAAAAAAGCCTATGAAAAAGGTACCAGGGGCATCTCATGAGGCCCCCTACTGACCCCGGGCCCTCGGGACAGTGCCCAAATTTCCAAATGGTCAGTCTGCCCCTGCGCACCACACAGAATTAACATGTGATTTGCACAGGAATGCGGTGCGGTTCCTGTGCAAATCACATGCGATATACCGCACAGCATTAGTGTGAACCTAGCCTAGGTCTTAGGTTAGGTTCATATATGGTGGTGCACTGCAGATCCGCACAAAAATCCGTGCAGTCGCACCACCCGCACAAAAGGATGCAGCCCCGCGGGCGGGTGCCATTAATTCCAATGGCATGCCACCCGCACTGGAAATCGCAACCATACTGGGAACCAAGGTTCCCGTGCGGGCTGCTTTTTCAGAATTATTACATCGAGTTTATATAGCGCCAAAGGGTTTACTCAGCGCTGTACAATAGAGGGGGGGGGGGACAATACAAGAAACAGAACAGCAACAACAACAGTACACGAGAGGTTAGAGGGCCCTACTCTTTCGAGCTTACAATCTAGGAGGGAGGGGGTAGTCTAGAATTCAGAGATTTCTTCCCTGCGTGCCCCGGGGCACGGGAGTCCATTCAAATTAATGGGCTCTCGTGTCCACGCAAAACGCGGACCGCAGGAACGCGACATGTGAAGTAACAACTAGATCAGTGTTTTTCAACCTTTTTTGTGCAAAGGCACACTTTTTTCATGTAACAACTAGAAAAGATTTACATAAAAAACACACCTAAAATACATACATGAGTGGGTTGAATGAACCTGAACTTATTTTATTGATATGCAAGGCATTGGCCAATCAGTATCATCACTTCTGCCTATTTAGCAAAGTCCGCATTCTTGTTTTGAAGCGAAGGGTGTTTCGGAATGGCGTTTTTAAGTTTACTTGGGACCATAGCACTGTTAGATAGCTTTTCACCACACACCACACACAGTGGAGTTGGTTTCTTTGCATCTCCGGTGAAAGTAAATCCAAATGAAATAGCTATATTGCCTTGTTAAGTCTTTGCTTTCTTTTTTCATACTTGGCTCTACCGAAGAAGTTCTTGTACTTTTATTATAAGTCCTGGCTGGACCGCTGTCCGTCACAAGTTACAGAACTCCGCTATGGCTCCAGAGATCCTAAAGTGTAACAATCCGGAGCTATTTATGTTTTTGAACATGCGCTTGTCACACAATGTAATAGCTCTATTTTGCCTGACCTGTTGCAATTTACTTTTTCCACGGCCATCACGGCAACTAGTGTTGGTTTCATGATTGTTAAAATACCATGATTGATCTTTGCAACACTAGTTGCACAGTAGTTAAGTAATTATGCTAAGTATTAGAATTGTCTATATATAAACCAATCCTCAAAATTTCACCTGCCTTTTTCCAGTATATGGGCATCTGATCTTTTATGTGCATCTGTCAGTGGGGTGTGAGGTTGAGGTCTGTTGCTCATCTTTTCACAATTGCTCCATCATTAAGCTCTAAAATGTAAATGAGTCAAATGGCAGCCATATGACAATATGGTGGAGAGAATACACTTAGGCAGTCGTGCCCTTTTCCTTTCGCTGATATTGTAGATCTGCACTGAATTTTACTTAATTGGAACCTGCTCCATCTAATAGCATTCTCACTTCAACAGATGCTGTTTAGGTGAAATTTTGGAGTCCATTTTTTCAGATGTGGTTATTGATCTCCTGTATTATTCAGCACCATCCACTCACAGGACTAGATGTAAAATGTAATAATCGGTTTCCTCCTGCTCCACACTTTATGTTATTTTGCTATTGTTAACGTACTGTGTAATCTCTTGAGGATGCAACCTTTCACCAGTGACCAATATTTGAAAGTGTTAGATGCATTTCCTTTGTGCTGACTTGTTTAATCTGTGAAGCCTACACAGGGAATGCAAGCTTTAACTTATACAAGATCACATCCTCAACTTGGAGTTGATCGCCTGAAATACAGATAAAGCATACAGTCAACAGTAAGACTCACTCAGAAAGATATCAAGGGAAATAAACACAGATATCATGTACCTGATTGGAGGCCAAAAGTGGTGAGAGGGCTTCTTTTGCAGCTCTGTTCCAAATACCCATGGAGGTGTTGACAGGGAGTACAAGACACAAAATGGCATGGGTGCCAAACGTCCACTTTCACTGGTGGGTGGATCATGGAGAAATATTGAAAAGGAGCAAGTCAGGCCCAGAAGCCGATGGGATGCTGACACCTGCAGTAGGTGAAGATCATGCAGGGAAGCAGTACCATTAGGGAAGAACTGGAGGATAGTGGGGTCAAGGTCAAGGGCCAAGCCGAGCTCATACATGGGTGATCAGTAGGATGTAGATAAAAGGGTTGAGTTCAGAACCCAAGCCAAGGTCAGATAGGAGTGGTCCAAAGGACTGGAGATAATAAAGAGTTCAGGAGCAAAAGACAGGGTCATCAGGTGATCAGTAGAACAGAAGTCCTAAACAAGCTCCTTGCTATGGGGGCACTGGTGTGCTCCCAAGCCAGACTGTGTATGTCTATAGACACACACTCCCTGGCTTGGCCCCACCCTCTTGCTCCCTCCTAACTGCATTTGACTGACAGCAGCAGCCAATGACTCCTGCTGCTCTTAATAAAGCCCATGAATACAGAAAGAGAGAAGAGCAGGGCTGCCGGTGGGGGCAGCGTTTGGCTTGAGTGGTGAAGTGTTTAGGGAGGAGGAAGGCACAGAAACATGAAATGCATAGAATACATTATCAAGGTGGTTCTAAAGGAAGAAGTTTTTCCTTACCTTAATGCATTCTCTGCATTAAGGTAAATAAATCCTTCAGTGTTTGGCTCCCCACAGCCGCCCTCCCAAATTCCCCCGTATACTTACCTGAGCCTGCTCTTGATCCAGCTCTCTCTCCTCACTGGCCATGGAGGCAGCAGTAAGAGTCATGTAATCCTGCTGCAGTCAATCACAGCCTGTGAGGAAAGAGTGGGGGGTGGGGCCAAGCCTCACTGTGTGTGTCACTGGATGGAGCATGCACAAGTGCCTCTATAGCAAGCAGCTTGCTATGGGGGCACTTGGCAGGAGGGAGGAGCCAGGAGCAGGGGACACCAGAAGAAGAGGTTTAGGGTTGCTCTATGCAAAACTATTGCCCAGAGAAGGTAAGTATAACATGTATAACATGCTCCGTCTTCTTCCTGCTACTTAACTTGTGGCACTGTAGGGCATTAATATCTTTGGGTATACTGTTAAGCTGCTGTGAGAAAGTTCCCAATGGGGACTTGTCCCCTTCTTCTTCATTGAGAAAGGTTCTTTCATTATTTTCACTGCATGTAACACAATGTCTAAATGGGGTAGATAATTCTGTCATTCATCCAACTCTCCCCTATTCACAGTGAAAACAATGAAATATCTTTTCTCAATGATGGAGGAGGAGACAAGTCCCCATTTGGAACTTTCTCACAGCAGCTTAGATATTAACCCCCTGCAGTGCCCGAAGTTCAGTAGCAGGAAGAAGACGGGGCATCCCTGCAGTGAAGATTTCTAGTAGAGGGGGGATTGGCAGGTTCCCATTAGGAACTTTTTTCACAGCAGATTCACAGAAGATTTCAAGCTGTTATACCCTGCAGCACAAGTTCAGAGTCAGGAAGAGGACTGGGCATCTCTGTAGTGAAGATTTCTAAAGGATGCTGCACAGCTGCCTGCAGGACATGGAACATGCTTCATTACAGGTAAGTTAGTTGACTTAAGCTACTGTATGTCTTAAGTTGATGTCTACACTTTACATTTAGGGTTAAATAACTTAGTATAAATTATACACACTCAATAAATTAATTTTCATAATGTAACAAGTGTTTGCTATACAAATATTCATTAAAACATATTAATTATGAAAATGTAGTTATATGTAAGCCAGGGCTATTGAAGACATCTTATATCAGAATCCCCAACCCAGTTATAGGAAGAGGAAACCTAACTTACCATATTTACGCCTTCAATGCATAATAAATACAATTCCTATATTTTTTGGATGATTTCAATAACATGATTAAGAGCAAGGTCAGATAAGCACTTTCAAGAGCCTGGTTTTCAAAAGAAGCAATACCTGCGCTGAATTGCCTATTCATTCTTCTGCTGGTCTCATTGGTTTAATTATTCTTTTATGCAAGCTGTGTATAATGTAGAGTAATATAAGATGTGTGTGTAAAAATATATCATAAGAAACCTCAGATATGAAATATGAACAAAGCATATCCCTCTATAGTGTGTATAGTTACATAGTTAGTCTGGCTGAAAAAAGACAAAAAGTCCATCCAGTTCAACAATAAAAAAAAAAGTTATAATCTTACACCCACAGTTGATCTAGAGGAAGGCAAAAAAAATCTCCAGTAAAGCATGATCCAATTTGCTCCTGCTGGGGAAAAAATTCCTTCCTGATCCACCAAGAGGCATTTGGATATTCCCTGAATCAACTTTATCTATAATGTGTCTCAGTTAAGAGCCTTAAGTGACATTTGTGTCTGCTGCTTTGTTCCTCTGCTATCAGCATGAGTTCACGTCTGACACCAGGAGAAAAATGGTGACAGGGGAGGGATTTCCAGCAGATTGACAGCCTCAGCTCTGTTCCTGTGAGTTGTGCGGAGGAGGTGTGTGTCTGTTCCCTCCAATTAGCTCTCAGAGTGCTCCTCACTGAGCTCTGTAGTGTGTAATTTCAGCGCTCTGCCCCCTTTTTTCTGAACTCTCACGCCAGTTGTATAAATTTAGCATTTTGAACGGATGTAGAAAAGAGAATACTGCAGATAAACAAGTATATTATATCAATTTTGTTTCATCTCTGTGTATTATCTTAGGTCAATCCCTTAAAATATGTAAGGGTTTACAACCACTTTAAGGCTTCCTTTAGACATGAGGTTGTGGGGTGGCAAAATGCACATTTTTGCACCAGCCACCCCCCCTTAAGCTGCAATAGGCAGTGTACGGGAATGCAGGGGCGGACTGACCATTTGGAAACTCAGGCACTGCCCGATGGCCCGGGGTCAGTAGGGGGCCCCATGAGATGCCCCTGGTACCTTTTTCATAGGCTTTTTTGAGTTTGGGCAAGGACACAGGGGCCCCATGATCCCCTATTACCCGGGGGGCCCCATGAGTTGTCAGTCCGCCCCTGCGGGGATGTTTACATGCCGCGGTCATGTTGCTTTGCGCCCACAGCAAAGTTTACCTGACATGTTGTGATTGGTGGACAGCAAGCCCACTGAATGCTATGTACTCATGTAAATAGGGAAAGTGCTACAAACAACCCACTGAGTGCAATGCATGAGGTTGCGGTGCATTTGTTAGCCTCTGAAACGCCATCGAATTGGGCTTCAAAAGAAAGAGCGGTTTAGACGCACATCTAAATCTGACCTAATGCATTCTCTGCGTTAAGGTTAGAAAATGTCTGTGATCAGCGATCACCCCCCAGCCAGCTAAACACTTATCCCAATCAAGCGCTGTGCTCAAGAGCAGTAGTGCTGTTCTCTCTCTCTCTTTCTCCCCACAGGACTCAGAGCAGCAGTGGGAGCCATTGGTTACTGCTGCTGTCAATCAAATCCAGTGAGGAGAGAGTTGTGGGGGGGGCGGGGCCTAGCCAACCTGTGTCAATAGATGCGCACATCCCAGATCAGGAACAAGGGATCAAGCCCACACGAGTGTGCTCATAACAAGCAGCTTGCTATGGGGGCAATCAGAAGGCAGGACGATCCGGGAGCACCAGTGAAGAAGAGGTTTGGGGCTGTTCTGTGCAAATCATTAGTATGACATGCCTTTTTTTTTTTTTTTTAATTTGTACCTTTACAATAATTTTAATTATGAAATAAAAATACAGCCAATGGTGTTAAAGTTTTTCATTTTAGAAATGATATGTTAACATTGAAAATTCATACTTGAGCAGAACTTTTGGGGTATATTAAAAAAAACTTCTGGACAAATGACTCAAGCAGTCGCTCATCAGTCACAAATAGCCCAGTATTTTTCCTAATAAGTCTATTTTCTATGTTTGCCAACTCCATCTAGTGGCTATAATGCTTTATTTTCTCGATTGAGGTATTTCAGAAAAATAGAGCATTTTGGCCACTAGGTGGAGCTGACTCTCATGGGAAATAAACATATTAAGCAAAATATGGAATTATTTGTGACAGCTGAGTGAATGCTTGACTCACACAGCAATTAAAAAAAAATGAACCCATAAGTCTTTTTTTACTATTTTTTATTACCATTTAATTATTTATTATCCTTTATTGGAGCTAAAATAGGAATCAAGCATTCTATAGCCTACGATTCTCTGTAAGGAATAATGGTCCTTCGATCCGACTGAACATAGGCTAATTGGGATTATGCGTAGTTATTTTCAGTTTAGTAAATCATGCCTTCGGTTTTAGGTCAGCCAGGTTTTCCAATAGTTGACAAACACATTATACTGTATAATATCCAGGATTAACATATTAATACTTGTCAGGTACCTTTCTTTTAGATAAATTGCATTGTGCATGGACGTTTCAGTGCAGGTTTCACTAACAATAACACAGAGGTCTTATTTATTGTTTTTATAACACAACCACTAGGTCTTATTTATTCATTTTATTATTATTATTTTATTATCATTGAAGTCTTTATTATATATTTTTTTTACTTTTTACATAAGATTTTTACTTAACAAATTAACATTTAATACAGGGTTCACCCATCACACTAGTGCCACAAAATATTGTTAATTTTCTAAGGAAAGAGCACAACATTAGTTTATTTTTAGACTGTTTTTTTGTACGAAGTCATACAGAAGAGTGTGAGAGAAGGGAAGAGTAAAGGACCTATTCCTCTGACTCCTTAAGCTGTGTATATAATTCAAGTTTGAGCTATTGAGCTCTGTGAACAACAGACTTTTTCTCAGTGAGGCAGTTAAAATTAGCCTGGTAAATATGTGAAAAGGAGCCTAGACCACCACCTGCTGGTGAAGAAAAGAAAAAATTGAATTATTCATATGAAGTACCTGAATAAAAAAAAATGTATGCCTAAGTGTATAAGGAATAATCAAAATGTATATAAAACATTACATTTGCTTTAACCACAGATTGTATGTCGCTCCCTTCTTCTGGGTTGAGGGAGTTCACAGGTGCACCCCTTTCTACCCCCCACCTCTGACCAACTCCCTCAGTGATTTTGTCAGCAGGTTTCAGCTAGTTATTATTGTACAGGATTTATATAGCGCCAAAAGTTTACGCAGCGATTTATAACATAAGGGAAGACAGTACAATTACAATACAAATACAGTAATATAGGAGGATTCAGAGGGCCCTGCCCGTTAGAGCTTACAACCTAAGCTAACAATTCTTGGTTGAGATCGGCTGTGTCCAATCAGAGCCCAGAGTCCTGTGTTGACTAATACACAGATCTCTGTACAGAGGGAATGATCTGTGTCTGTATCTTCTTGCTGCAAAGCAGGGAGAAGAAATACAGACATTTAGTAAAAAGCAGCACACATTACACACATGAACACATGTTAGGCACACACTTGACGCCTTGATTACCCCGAGATGTTAACCCCTTCCCATGCCAGTGTCATTAGTAGACAGTGACCTCCTGCTCTCTAGCTCCCTTGTCTCCTCCTCCCATACTTGTCTCCAGGACTTCTCCAGAGCTTCCCCATCCTCTGGAACTCTCTACCCCAATTTATCAGACTATCGCCTACTCTGCTCACTTTTAGGCGATCTCTGAAAACCTATCTCTTCAGGGAAGCCTATCCTGCCCTCAGCTATTAATTGAATCTTCTACTCCTCCTACCAGTCCATCCCCCACAGTTACTACCTGTTGTACCACTAGCCCCTCCCTCTTAGATTGTAAGCTCCAAGGAGCAGGGCCATCCTAACCCTCTTGTATTGAACTATATTGTTGTTGTATTGTCTCTCTTTATATTGTAGCTGAGCAAACTGTTGGCGCTATATAAATCCTGTATAATAATAATAATAGTACAGTTACAGTGTATATTATTATCACTGATCACTGTATTAGTGTCACCGGTGATGTCAGTGTCAGTTTGTCAACCTCCCACCCAGTGTCAGTTAGTGTCAGATTGCCCTCTGCACTATCGCAGTCCCACTGTAAGTGACAGATCATCGTCATTACTAGTATATCTAAAAAAAAAAAAAAAAAAATTCCAGTATCTATACCATACTTTGTAGATGCTTTAATTTTCACACAAACCCATTTTACATTTACTGGGATTTTTTTTTTCAACCAAAGACATGTAGCACAACACATTTTGGCCTATATTTATTAAGAAATTTGATATTTGTTTTTATTGGGTATGTTTTATAGCAGAAAATAAAAAGTATCGTTTTTTTTCAAAATTTTCGGTTGTTTTACATTTATTTAATAAAAAATTAAAACCCAGAGGTAATCAAACACCACCAAAAGAAAGCTCTATTTGTGTGAAAAAAAAAAGTCATTTGCGTACAGAGTCGCATGACCGTGCAATTACCAGTTAAAGTAGTGCAATGTTAAATTGCAAAAAAACGGTCTGGTCACGAAGGGGATTGAACCTTCTGGAGCTCAGGTGGTTAAGACAGTACTGTGGAGCTGGGGATGCCTCATATAATGTTCTCAATATATCATAAAACCATATTTAAAACTGAGTGAAGAACTACTTATTATTGAACGGGAAGGGGTGCAAGGCATATATTATTTCAAGAAACTGGGGGGAAACTAAGGGCTTAACAGTTTCTGCCTACTGAGGACCTATTTCATATGACTTTGGGCTTGTTTCAATAGCATCATTCTTCTTTCTGCTTCAAGTAGATATTGTATTCTCTTAGTCCAATAAAACCAGCACAAAACACAAATGTTTAAATAATAAGTGAATATAAAATTATTATTTTATAAATAATCTTTAACTTCTTCCAGTGATAGCCGAAACGGCTTCACCGCGGCCCGGCCAGTTCTAGTGGACGTCATATGACCACAATGCGCGCCCCAGGGGGCGCGCCGATCTCCGTGACATATACGGACAAGCTGATCACTAAAAAATGCCTTTTACCACGTTTTCCAATGACACGCTGATCACAGGGAAATGCAAAGTGCCGGTTCTCGGCTGCACTTTCCTCACGCTTCAAGATCGTGAGGATCTAAGTACTGCCGAAAACTTTCTATCGGCAAAATCAGGGCATGATGATCAGTGCCATGCCCTGATTCAGTGTTTCAAATAATTCTGTCCAGTGCCCCCATCCACTCTGCAGTGCCGAAACCTACATGTGCCAGCAGTGCCAACCCACCGCACACCTGTCACCAGTGCCACCCAATGTGTGAGTGCCACCCAAGTGCACACCTTCAGGATTAGGGGTTTGCCAGTCAGGGCAGTCCAGAAGGATGCCCCGTTATCAGTAAACATCATCAAGTGTCACCTATCAGTGCCGCCTATCAGTGCTGCATTTTCCATCCGTGACCCCATTAGTCTATGGGTATTTCTCCTTTAGTGCTGCCTATCTCCATCGCCAAATCCCCAAGTTCCAAAAAGGAGAAAAAAAACTAATAGTGTAATTTATACTGTTATACCCCTTTTTGAGAAAAAAATTAATTCAAGCCAAACCACTCACATTTCATAGGAAATAAAAACTGGTATGGAAGGGGGTATAAGTGCCTGGTAGGCATGGTGGTTAAAGTCCAGTGATAAAGGTAAGTGACCACAATCCCCGTGAATATAAAAATTGTTAAATCAAAAGTCCAGTGAATCTAAAAAATAAACTTCAAAATAATTCTTCCCACCGTGCCAGAAACCAACATTCACCAGACCACACCTCCTAGGAACTCCTCTATTTTCCACCTCAGCCTTGTGTACAGCAGGATGACAGCCTCCATAATGAACAAACTTTCTTCACTAGTCAAAAATCCCAGGAACTCACAGCCGTACTGGAACAGCATCCCTCGGCGTGCGTTCCACTCAGTCAAAAATGGCCGCTAAGGAACGCATCCCTCGGCGTCGGGCGTTCCACTCGGAAATGACGGAGCGTTCGGGGACCAACCGGAAGTACGTCAACGCGTTTCGCCCCACCACAGGGCGTTCTCAAGACGTATTCTCTTAGACTTGTATGGAAAAATAAAACTTGCTTGAAGCAAACAAAAGCCCTTCAATAG